CTGTAGTCTGTAAAGCTCTTAAAAGTAAAATTCTTATGTAACTATATAACTAAAAATGTTGCTTGGACACTTAATATCATATGAAGCTGTTTGGAGCACTAGTCTGTTTTATATTTCTTTGTGTCAGCTAGATGACGGTAGAAGCAAAGAACTTGCATTTTCTGCTTGCTTAGGATGTTTTAGCTCACCAGAAACAAGCAAGTTGCAAAAGGATGGTTTTGCTCTGGTGATAGTTTCCTTCCCAACTATACTTTAACAGACAACTGTGTTTTGCATGAAAATATCTGAATTTATTCGCTCACTTTTCCTGGTCCATCACTTTAATGATGATGTAGTCAAATGAAATCAAAATGAACTTTTCCTAAAGGGATGTTGAAATGGTGAGATTTGAAATCTTAGTTTATGAACATGCAGAAATTCCTGTCATCAGCCCAGTGTGACTATAAATAGCATGAGGACCTGAGGAGCCCCATCTGCAGCTGTTGTGCCTGAGCATACCAAGCACTGAGCTTGCAGGCATTGTCACTAATCAGCAATGATTTTTAAAATTCAGTTTTAAAGCTGGAAAGCTCACTTGGCATCTTGAGCAGCTCATTAGTTTTAGGTGGCTTAGAGTAGAAGGGGGCTTCTGTGCACCAGCTCTGCTGCTCTGGTTCTTCCCTACTTGGGGGGGCTTCACAAAGGAGCTGACTGTTAGTAGTGGTGGTCGGGGGGTGAAGATGAAGAGGGAGGAATGAGGAAATGAATGATTTGCCTTGGGGCTGAGAGAGATGAAGGGACTGTTCTGAAAGTCATTATCTTGCATTTCTAATTACCAGATGGAAGGGTGGTTTAATGAAGAGATTTTTCAAATGAAGACCCCCTTCATAAAAGGCATTCAACTCTTTGGGTGGGTAAGCTGTTCCAGAGGAGAAGCAAAGCAAAACTGGTTAAGGAAAATACAATATTTCTTGAATTTAAGGCATGGATTTCATAGAGAAGCTGTAGACAAGTTTTCATTAAAATTTTGCAGACTCAGAAAGAAAGAGGAGGAAGAAAAATTATTTGTCATTTGATTTCAGATGTGCTCCTGGGATCTGTGCTGAAAGGCGTAACTGTGTCCGGATGTGTACAAATAGATGGGCTTTCAAGTCAGTATAAAGTAATGGCCGTAGAATTTCCTGCAGAACCACTCAAAGGGTGGTGTAATTCCAGCTGGCTTGCTGGGAATTTCATTTAACTGGTTACAGGAGGCTCACAAGTCATGTTGGGAGACTTCCTTTTGTGTAATGTGGGTGCAGTCAGTTCAGAGTCCACTCAAATTTTGTCTTCTGTGAAAATGGATTTACTTCAGCATGTGAGACAAACAACAAATGATGATGAGTTTTAGTTTGATCAGAAAAGAAAGAGGAGCTTTTTATCAATAAGGGAAATTCTTGACTGCAGTGACATTGATTTTTTTTCTCAGATCCCAAGATCTTCAGGGCTTGCTGGCACCAGGTAATTCAAGCACGAGTTATCGTTGTGCCCTCGTGCTTAAATCTGTCATCCTGCTTCATCTGAAATGCAGTCAGGTGCTTCTAGTGGGATGGGGTCAAGTCCCTCTAAGCCATCATCCTTTATCATTGAGACAGGACTATCAAAGCAAGATTTAAATTTAATTAGAAGATGATATATCTGCAAGATTGTGGTTCACATTTTTAGTGAGCGAGGTTTTTTGTAATAAGAGCCATATATTTAACTGATTCCTTTATGTTAGTAAGATGACACTTCTGCCCTCTCTTATAATTTGAATGCTAGCTAATGTGAGGATTTTTTTAAAGAACCTCCAGTTGTCAGCTTAAAAAAATCTTTGTACATTCCCAGCTATTTTATGTGTTGGAGTTTGAAAAATAGTAATAAAAAAGCAGTACTAACTTTAAAGACCCTTATTTTACTGTTTATTATTACCTACAATACCAGATGTACTATTGTTCCCAGGGGCTTTCTTTTAAGCTTCTTAAGTGAGCTCCTCAGGAAAGACAGGATATTCAAGCATGTTTTGATATGAACAACTTTTTTCAGCAATGAATTTTGAATTTTGGGACTGGTAAGACAGACAGACTCTTAGGTCTCTGTGTTGGAAATACTATATAAAGCAGAAAACATAGAACAGGGAAAATAATGGGCTGTGTGAATCTTAATCTATTCAAGTACAAGTGGAATTTGATCCTATAAAAATTCCTTACAAAACAGTGAGCAGATTTTCAGTAATTCTGTATTTTAATGTGCACTTAATTAGCTTTACAAAAATTGAAATGATCACTAAAGAATGTAGCAGGTGGCAGGTTCTCTATTTAAAGGATATTTCCAAGAAAATATTTTCCCCAAAGGCCATGAGAGTAAGGAGTGTGTGCTCTCACAGTCTATTTAGCATGTGTGCCTTTTGTTGCCTTATCCTTTTAAAGAAATAGCATATTGAAGTAATGATGGATAACCTTGAAGTGAAATCAGATTGAACTCCAAACAAACTGTGATGAACTCTCTTTTCCAGAGGGATGCTAAAAGTCACAGAAACGGTGCAGAGCAATGAGTCTTTACAATTGCATCTCCTCTGAAGGAAAACATACTGAAGAGGGATTTCTGGCTAAATCTGTGGGTGGTAGTACTGGGTTCAAGTGTACCCTGTTGAGCTGCTGGATGTGACTTGTTTGGCAATTCCAAGAGTTGAATTTCCTTGCACTTTTTTTGTGTTGCTATTTTTTATCTTGGTTGTTTCAAATTATGGAAAATCAGCCCTATCTTAGTGCATACTTGGCTTTTAGAAGTATGTCTTGAAACCGAATCAGCAAGAGCAAGATGAGATGGCTTTGGTAGAGGGGAGTGCAGCAGGAAGAGCAGTTTGGTGTCTGTCAGTGGACACACTGTGCTGCTCCTCCAGTTGCAAACAAGCAGGCTCTCCCACTGGAGTTAAAACTGAGGTTAAAACCAGGGGGAGGAAGAGATTGTCATTTCAGTGAAGCAATATTTGACCAGTGCTGTGGGGCTGACCTGTGCGGGTGGCAAAAGCTGCTGCTTCTATCAGAGGGAACACTGGGGCAATCAAATCTAGACTTGGGTATTCACCTGGCACAGAGGGATTCATCTCAGGGCTACATGGGGAAATAGTGATTCTCATGTAATGATACATAAATAGTTTCTCTTCCTTGGGAATGTCCTGCCTCGAAGAGTGTAGTGTGTCATGTATTTACTTACATATGCATAATTCAGCTATTTTACTACATGCCATGCTAGGCAGCAATGAAAATTATGTCTGCCCGTGACTTGAGCCAGGATGGCATTTTATAGACTGATGATGTTATTTTCCCATCTCCCACCAAAAAATTTGCATTAATCCTGTACGAGTTTATATTCAGGTTGATGGGTCTACCTGCAGGTATTGGTTTGCAGAATCAGGGCTGTGTAGTTTTTAAAACACTGCTGAAGGAGGTCTCCTTGTATCATAAGGCACAGACAGCAGAAATAAACTCTAAAATCCCTTTTCCTTTGGGGAAGTGGAGTATTCCTCTTCTGGAAATTACTTGGCCATCTGAGATGGGAGTTTTGAAACATCTGTATTCAGTGTTCTGTTGAAAACATTGAAATGGTGACATAACTGAGGGTCTGGGTGAAATATGACTTGACAGTTAAAAGTATCCACTTATGGATTTGACAGCATGGTATGCAGAGGTCTTCTGATCAGGCAGCAGTTTGCCGGATGCAGGAAAATAGCTCTGATCAGTGCGTGACCTTGAAAGTAGTCATGGGTCTTCCTCTGCCCAACGGGACCACAGAGAACAGAGAAGTTCTGTTTCACAGTATAAGTTTTTGCTTATCTGGAAGAAGTAACTGAAAGTGGCTTTTTTGCTATTCTCAAATAATTGCGTTCTCAGAATTTTACATATGTGAGAATTGCTCGTAGAAGTGTCTGTCTGCTCACGATCTAGCATGGAAAGCCCTCAGTGACAGCACGTCCTTGAGGACCAGAGCTCTACTTCAGCTCGTACTTCAGTGCAGGTGACACTTATCCTTACATCAGTTTTAGGTTTTTACTTATTTTTCCTGTGCACATTCACAGCTCTGAGTGTCAAAACCTATCTTCATGGCATTCAATTCACATGACATTCATTCTTTCAATGTGCATTAAAACCCAAAACTTCAATGTCAGTACAATGTCAGACTAAAAGAAATGTTCATAACCAATTGAGGAAAAAGCTGTGTTGTCTCTTCTGTACTATTCAATGAGGCTAATATATGGAATAATTATTTTTTAGGAATTGCAAAAGAGTAAAACTTCTTGTTTCCTTGTAAAAAATGTGATCTTAGTTTATTAATTAAGCAATTCTGTCATGCAGTATTTGTCACAATCAGCGAAACTCAGGCTTCTGCTTGACCTCTGGAAACATGCTGTGGGAAATGCCTCTGCTGAAACACTGGGACAGAAAACCAAGGGTTGGGAAAGCAGAGTGGTTGTCACTAAGCTGAAGGGGAAGGGCTGAGATAAAAGCTTAGGCATTGCTTTTCAGGGTGGAGGTAAAATGTGTGTGTGTGTGCTTTCAAGGGGAGGATGTATTTCCAAGCCAGTTCTATCTATCTTATTTAATGCTGTTTTCTTGGGGTATTTTAATCTAGATGACAGGCTAGAGAAATCATAAGTTTCTTGGTTTTGTTTGATAGAGGATTTTAATAAAAATTGAATTTAATATGTAGAATCCCACTGTTTAACATCATTCCTGAGGAATATTAGTTCTACAGTGTTTTGTTCAGTGGCAGTTCTCTACTGCTTCTAAATGTCAGTAAATGTAAATTCCTCTTTTATATGTGTGCTATTCAAAGAAAAGTGTGCCCTTGGCAAACACGTGAAAGACTCCAAAGATTTTCATGTTTTTTTCAGAAGTTAGACAGTTTTCTGAGTTTTGTGGTTTAGGGATTTTTTTTAAATGTGTGCTGTGAAATTTTGCTTAAAATGACTTTGCAATGCAATTTTTTTTTTCTCTTCACAGATGAAATCATGCATCAGGATATCATTCCCCTCTATGCTGCAGATATTCAGGACCAATTAAAGAAACAATTTGCTTATCTGTCAGGTAAGACTATGGTGTTCCCTCTTATACACATTGCTTACATGCACAGTACAGCCTGCTGTCCTTTCACCATCTCTGAGGACTCTTATATGAGAAATCACTGAGTAACTCAAAATTCAGGCTACTAAGACTTGTTATTTAAGGATTTATTAAAAGATTTTTTTAAAGTATGATAGAAATTTTAAAATTACAGGTAATTTTCCAGTTAACTGGAGATTGCAGCATGGATGCTCTGGTCCTTGCTGTGTTCTTGGAGTCCTCAGCTCACAGCCCCAGCTGCCACGGGCTCTGCTGTCGTGTTTGATACTGAAGCCCAGGCTGACACCTTGGTTGTGACCAAAGCACCATGGTACCATTTTCCCCCACAGCATCAGTACTGCGCTCAGACAAGTGCAGCATCGAGTTCTGGGCAGGATTTTTGACTTGGTATCACTGACTGCCTTCTGCAAAGGAACCTGCTTTTGGGTATAAGGCTGTCTCCAACAGCAGCACAGCCACTTGCACACAGCACAGAGAGTCTCTGCCCCTGGGCCACCTGTGCCAGGTTGGTGATGGGAGCGGTGTTTGTGCCATGCAGTGTTGGCTGCTGAGCTTGGTCCATCTCCACACTGAGCCTGTGGCTGGCTGATAATGGGCAAAGGAGATGGTGCCTCTGCTCACTGATCAAGCTGAGTGGAAGAAGGTATCTGATAAGCTTCTGAGTTTGTTCTCCTGTCTTCTGCCTGTAAAAGCTCTTGCAGGTGTGCAGCTGTGAACTTGCTGGAATTATGGCCCTGTTCTGCCCTCCCTCCAATACACAAAAAGGGAGAGCATCAGTGGCTTTGCAGAGCTGCCCTGCATCCTTCAGCACAAAGGAAATTTACTTCTCTGAGCTACAGCTGAACTCTATGACTGTTCCCTCTCCCTCTGAATCCCATCCTGCATCAGATCCAGAGAAACAGGGGAATGAAACAATGTAATGCTTTACTTGGCAAGAGCTCACTGAATCTTGTTATACTCATAATCAAATATTAATTATGATTTATTTCTGCTACACAAGCTGAACTGTGGATCTTCAGCAGTGACTGTGTTTTCTGTAGGGTGGTGGTAGCACTTGGAAAATAAGATATTTTTTATAAAATTGGCTGTTCATACTTCATTTGAGATTATAGTGTTTAAGCTACAATTCTTCTCTGGGAATTTATTTTTTGACTTTCCAAGCTCATTCTTATCCATGGGCAGAAAATGTCCAATAAGAGTGTTATTCAAGAATCAGCCTATCTATGAAAGTACAAGTAGGGTTTGTATTTTGCCCCTCTGAAGTGAGGGGGAAAACTGGTGACTGTGGTGGGTGAGTTGTTGAGTTCACAAATCCACAAGTGTCTTCAGCAGTCAATAAATCCACTTGGCAGTGGAGCTTAGTAAGAGCAGCCATTCCTCATTCTATTTTCTTCTATCTATTCACACTCTTGTCAATTAGAATTTTGTTTTATTTTCCTCAAGGAATAAGTCAGCTGCATTACTGTTTCTAGATTTTGTTGTATTTTATTATTCTTGGGCAACTTGAGTGTTAGACATTTTCACTTCGCTTTGGAATTCAGGGGGTTTTTTTTATCCTAATGTTCTTCTGCAGGATGTTTGTTGATGGTTCATTCTCTGTGCTGTACCAAATAGTGGTTTTACAGGTTCTGTGTATGAAGGAACAGAGACAATGTTTTGATACTTGATTTATGTACAATTTGTTGTTACAGTTGAGCTTAAGAGGGGCTTTGCTCTAAGGCCACTTAAGACATTCCCAGTGTGTGAATGGGACTTTTTTCCTTATTACTGTTGCCTTGAGAATAGAATCTAAGTACATGGCAGAAAACTCATTAAAATGAAAGTCCATAGATTACTAATGCCTTTGGCAAAATAGCATGTTTGCAGGTATTGCAGAATGTTTCAGATAAATTTCTGATTTTAATTGTTGGCTTTTTAACAGCAATTCAATGTGTACTTGAGAATTGCTCTAGTTTCTCTAATAGGATGTATCTAGGTCTCATGGGACACTTGCTTGAGTAGGGAATGAAACCCAGTCTGCTTCTTGTCCTAGAGGCTTTATCCCTTCCCGAGGTGCTTGGTCTACATCAAGGTCACTTCTTACTTGTGTCTCTCATTGTGCTGGATTGTAATGGGAATGCTGCAGGAACACCCAAATTAGACTTGAAATGAAACAATAAGCGAAAACTTCCACTAATACTTCAGTTTGTCAGTAAAGATCTCAAAGTGCAATGAAATCAAGATGCTCACTGCTCCTGCAGACTGGCTCTTGCTCAGCACTGAGTATGCAGTCGTGTTCAGCTTAAATCTAATGGTGGGGCAAGCTGTGGATGAGGCTTGTAATTAGTCATTCACACGGAAAGTTTATGAACCCTGAAGTTAATATTTTACCTCAGGCACAGTTGTTTACATTTTACCTTGGAGTTTTCTCTTTCTGTGGAGCAAGGTCCTTATCTGCGCTAAAATTATTACTTTTGTTGTTGCTGGGCTATACTAAGTGCTGCATCTACACGGTGCAGTGTTTCACCCTTTTTACCTTTGCTTTCTTTAGTTACTATTAGTGCAACCACTTTTTCTTCCACATTTAAAGGGGTCTTCTGCCTTTTTTTTTGTTTTATTTTTGTTTTTTATCCCATGAAGGACAGTGTAAGGTCCATTTGAAAGTCTCTGGAAAATGGATCCTTTGTGTATTCCTCAGAGTCTTTCATTCATGTTATATATTTTCTTTCATAAGTATCTTCTCTTCCCATGATTGCTGTGTGACTTTTCTACCCACCCAGCCTTGTGTCTGTCTGCCACCACAGTGTGCAGATGTGTTAAAATAAATGTAGATGGAAAAGAGTGTACAGACACCTGTGTATGTTGATATGCATCCTAAATCATTCAAGCTATGTGATGTGCAAATGAGACTCGTGGCCACCATGAGTGCTGAGCTAGTTAATTTAACTCCCTTTCCTTTGAATGCCTATTTATACATTGAACAACTTCAAAGTGTTTCCATTAAAGGAAATACAAATATGAGTTCATGCTATTTGCATTTTCGTCTATTGATTCCTTGTTGTTTTTCCTGCTATTGAAGAATTTAACATTGGTACTAGCTTTCAAAATGCTTATACCTTTGATTTATAAATATACACCTATATGCTCATACCTTTATCATAATAAGTAAATAGTAAGCATCTCACTTTGTCTGAGTTTATTTTCTTGGATGTGCTCTTGCTCTCATCTGTGGGAATGACCTGACCGCTCCTCACTGGTCAGACTGTTCCCACTGAAGTAGCTCTGGCTGCTCAGTCTGTAAAATTACATTTGAGAATTTCTGAGTGGATCCTGTACCACATACATTGCAACAGTTAGCTAAAAATATCGGCCTTATTTTGTTGCTGATATAATATGGACAGTATCTATGTTGTGTATGGACAGTGGAAGAGGTATTGCTTAGCAGCCTTTGCCTTGCACAGGTGTAAGCTTAAGTAATGTTTTTTATTTACTGTGCTAAACCTGCTGTCTATAGAGACTTAAAAAAATCAAAGCAAAAAATGTAGTAAGGGAATAGATAAAGGGAGAAAATGAATCCTTGGCTAAGAGATTTCCAGTTCAAATATGTTCAGATTCAAATTTATGTATTGCAATCCAATTTTTAAGCTGGTGTATTTGCTGCTGATCAGCCTGAGCAAAATGCAGCTTGTGAAGTTATGCAAGTAAAACTTCTCCTTTCAAGGAAAGAACATTTTAATAATTTCCTCCTGAATCTGTTTTTCTTTGCAAAGGATATGCAGTGAAGCTTTTATCCAGTCCCTCATTGAAGTCTACATGTAATTTCAAATACTGAATTCTCCAGTTAAGTATATTATGCAAGCAGAAAGGAGAAACTCCTTATCAGAAATGCACAAGCATAATAGCTGAACCACTACAATAGTAAAAAAAAATCTGAAGTAAGCCCTTCTCTCAGTCACATGAGGACTTCACTTTTGACAGAACTGCAATTTTTTGGCAGTGTCTTTTGAACTAAAGTTGTAGATCTGAGCCATTCAACAAGGCTGATGCTCTTGGATCTTGTGTGTGCACACTGATCAACAGAGAGGTCATATTTTTTCTTATAGTCCAAATACTATTTCACTTGTATTATAGAATCAGGCCAGAAGACTCTTTGCTCTGTCATCTAATTCTATCCTGCTACTTCCCTTTTGTGGGGGTGGTCAGAGTACTTTTGAGAATACCTTTTTTTTTATGCAAACAGGAGCAGACTAGTAAGGGAAACATTACAAAATAATCTCTTACTCATCCTTCCTGGAAGTAAGGCTAAGCAATTTCTTTGCTGCTGGCAAACATTGCTGCCCATACCAAACCCCACACAATTAGCATGTTTTCTACAGGGTTGTGGGGAATGACCCTTTTCTCTGTGTTTGTGTCTGCCTGTGCACTTGTGTGTGGTTTTTAGCAGATGTACAATATGCAAGTTTTGTCATTTTCCCTGTCAATGCTTTTTAAAATTAATTTAATTTAATTATGTCTCATTTGAGATTGTTTTCAGATACAAGTTACTAACATGCCTCTTGATTAGAAATTCTGAAAATGCTGTTCAATTTTCTTGGGTTAGCACTTCTCTATCACCCAACCTGCTTAATAAAAAAGAAAACAAATGCGGAAGACATAGCAACTGTGATGGGAAAAGTTAGATGTAGCAGAATATAAAGAATAAATGCTAAATCACTGGAACTCTAAGGGAAATTTTAGCAGTCCCATCTCACAATAGTGCAGCTAGTTTCCCATGGTTATTTTTTCTACTCTTTTCATCCATAAGATCATGATGCTCTGGGTACACACAATTTTAGCAATTGGTGATATTGCTGGTGTTAATTGTGTTCAAAAGCTAGGAACGTGAAATGTTATTTTCTAAGCACAGTTAAGTCACTTTGCTGTGGACTGTGGAGCAAGTACAATTCAATGTTTTTAAAATGTGTGTTTCTCCAAAACACGGGGCTGTCACTGTTGTAAAAACAGACCTTAGACCAAGGCTGGTAGATCTGTCTAGAAGAGCTCCACCTAACACAGCTAGAATTTTCGAGGTTTATCCACTGAAAAATTTCTATTTTATGAAGGCAATTTGTTTTGTTTGACACTAAATCTATTAAAGAATTTTCATGTGAATAGGCTGCCAAAGTCATGTATAAGTCAGATAATAACAAAGTTTTCCATTCATGAATACTCACAGAAGTCGCATGGAAACGGATCTGCTTAATGTAAAGTGGTATGGTGTTTTTATTTTATTTAATTGCTGAAATAAGCTTCAGTCCTCTTTACTTCTATGGTCCTTCCATTTGTAGCCTGGAAAGTAACAATCCTCTCAGTTGTAGAATGTTACATATAATCCTCTCACAGCTTCATGTTATAAGACAAGCATCAAGGAATTATTGGGAATCATTTCAGGTAATATGTCTGCAGACTGATTGCACCCACTTAAGGACTGATGTTTTCTCTTCTGCTCTTTGCAATAAACAAAAAACCAAAAGTTGGCACTCAAGTGACATTTGTTTAATATTTCATAGAGTAATGATGCCAAATGTATTTCAGCATTTTCATAGAATCACAGAATGGATTGGGTTGGCAGGAACCTTTAAAGATCATCTAGGCTGTCCCTGCCCTGTCATGGATAAAGGCATCTTTCCCTAGATCCATTCAATCTGATATTTTCATAGTCAGAACAGTGCTCAGAATTTTTTAAACAAAAATAAGGGGATTTGTTATACTTTCAGAAATTTATGTTTAAAAAAGAAAAAAAACAAGGCTAAGATTAGACTAAGAAAATGCTCATAATGCTCTCGAGTACTTGATTGTCTTAAAAACACATAAAACTATTAAATTCCACTTGTGCAGTGCATCCCTGTGTAAGATTAGAAGTAGGAGAGCAGGCTTGTGTGTGCCTCTGTGGACAGAACTTGTTGAGCAGATCAGTTGAGGCTGTTCAACAGCTGTAGCTGGAATTTCTCTGAACTAGAGGGGAATGCAAAAGAGGTGATTTTCCAGAGGTTAGGACTGAGGTAGTTAGATGTACTCACTCTACCAACTGACCTGAATTTATTAAAATATTGCTGTTAAATTACTAATTTTTTGTATGGTGATTAAAAACACAGTAATTATTTTTAAAAACTACTCTGTATGTGTTGAATTACTTGCATGAGTTGTAGCACTCAAATATTCATCTCTGTCTTTTTTGGTAATCTGGTGTATATAATTCTGAGGTGCTGGAAGATTATTATATGAATTAGTTTTAATAAGATGTCTGAATTTTTTGCCTTAAACCTGTTTCAAAAAGGATAAGAGAAGTGAAATTTTTCAGTACTTTTCACTTGAATGTTTTCCCTCTCATTAAAATTAAAATCAACAACAATAAAACCCCTCTTATCTTCCTAAACTTTTTATCTCCTCCCCCTAAGTTCTGTGGCTTGATTTATTTTTGGGTGAAGAGAAGAAAATCACATTTTACACAGCTAATTTTATAAACTGTGTAATCCTGCTTTTGCAGAGGTTAAGAAAAATGAGGAAGAATTATTCTGATTAAAGGAAAACAATAATTTCCTGCTGTGTTATCTTCATTAAGAAATAAAGGACACTTTAAAAAGTGAACTCACTATTTCTAATATTTAGTATAGACACAATTAATATGTAGGATTTTTACTTTATTTCGTATGCCATTTTGTAAATTTCTCTGACAAATGCTCGTTTTAAAGCAGCAGCTGCTTTGGCTAGAGTGACCTGTCTTCCCTTGGTGGTCATGTAGTTAATCACAGAATCACTAGGTTGGAAGAGGCCTTCAGGATCATCAAGTTCACCCATAAAGTTGCAATGTAGAGAGCAACTTCTGTAAGTCACGTAGTGTTAAAGCTGAAATTTACAGAATTACTTATGTTTAGCATTTCAGGTCACTCTGCCCTAAACTCTTTTGAGCAGCAGGGTTCTGATAAGGAAAAGTAGTTGAGGAGCTTTTGAAGGTATATGTGTGTTCAAGTGGCCCAGCAGGGAAACAGCAATGAAAAATCAGTGAAGAACTGATTCTAAGAGCTCAGGGCAGAGTCATCTCCACCCAAGATAACCACAGATGACTGTTCTAGAAACTGAAAATTAATAGGCAGTCACCAGGCAGGATGGCTCTATTTGCCCTTGACAATCGGTGGTGGTCTGGGAACTTCCTGAAAATCCTAGTCCAGACTTCTGCTTTTAGGACATGTCCTGCAAGTCTATTGTTGTTGTTCTTTTGTTTCACATGTCCTATTTAAAGAAATTAAGTGGAACAGAAAAAGTAACCAATGGAGATACCACAAATAATGTATGATTATGTCTAAAAATAGTTTCTCTAGAGAAAGCAGAGCACCTCATAAGCAACAGAAATAATCATTATCATGCTTTTAACAACAGAGGAAAATGCTTTAGTCCTGAAAGCTTGAACAAAAACCAATAGAGTGAAAATTGGTCTTAACTTATAATTGTGTTTTGAATATTTGTATAGCTAAAATTAGCTCCCTTGACTCAGTGTTGCCATGTTTGGGTGTGTCATAAAGGTCATATTTGCAAACTTGTAATATTTTCATAATAGTTGCATTTTGTTGTTGTTTAAATGTATCCAAAGCACATTATTTTTTTCATGTATTTTGATTCCAAGAGCTTCAGTGACAGCACCATGCCTGTAAGCTGGTAAACAGAAATCAGATTCACCACAAATTAACATAAAGATACTATTTCAGCTGTTCTAATTACATGTGGTTTGGAGGGAAGTTGTGATTTCTTTTATCAAATGAATCTGAGGTCAAATATTTCTCTTGTTTTTCCTGTGAGGTTAGACTCAAAGGGACTGGAAGTGGGTAATAATCTTCACAAGTCACTGTTGCTCTCATAATTGGTGCTGTTAATACTGGTTTCTGCACAGTTACCGGATTTCAAGGCTGGAAAAAATATCCTTGTTATTATAACAGTAATTTTTTGTTCTTTTTTTCTTCTCCTGTAAAGATAACTTCCCAACAGTGTGTTCCTGCCACCCCAGAGCAATTAACTTCATGCAATTGCTAGGGCTCAGCAAGCCCCTTGTCCTACCTGTCTTTATGAATATACACTTGCTAAGGACGTGAAACACTAATAATGCCTTTAAAAGGAAATTATTACATTTTGCATATAAGAATGTGTGTGAAGTGCATGAAGAAGCGTTGTGTCTGTGAATTGTACCCAGTGGTGCAAATGCCAGGAGAGATGCACATACCTAGCTCATCAGCAGGTACCTAGCTCATCAGCAGCTCTACTGCAGTGTAGGTGTTCAGCTCTGCTTCACCTTCTGTACAAAATCTGGGAATGGGAAATCTCATTTGAAACACCTACGCCCATTTCTTTTAACGTTCTGCCCCTTGTGTTTCACCAACCTGGAAGCAAAGCAGCAACTGAGCAGGGTAGGGGGTGTTGCATGAATGAGTTCCAACTGGTGAGAGGGTTGAGTTCAGTTCAAGATGGAGATTCACCTACTTAATTCTGAACTAACATTTTTGTTTCTAAATTAGTTGCTTTCTTTCTCTGAATTGCTTCTGCTTAGCTGCAGTTGATGTTTATAAGAAGATGCACTGCCATCTGGTGTCAGAACTGCTCACATTGATCCAGAAAAAATATCATGTGGTGAATGGGATGTAAAAAATTCCTTTCTATAAAACTTCCTAAGCGCTGAAGAAGAGAGAGACTGCTCAGAGTAAACTGTCCACACATGAGCCCTGAAGAAAAAACTAAAAAAAAAAAAAAAGAGACAGAAAAAATGCAGTTGTTTTATTACTGGGAAATTTCAGTCTAGGTAAAGAGACTTGCATATAAACACATTTGCTGCTTCTTTTGCAGGTGGAAGAGGGGGAGATGGCTGCCCTGTTATCACCTTTCCAGACTATCCAGCTTTCAGTGAGATTCCTGAAAAAGAGTTTCAGAATGTCCTGACCTACCTGACAAGCATTCCAAGGTGAGCACCTGTCTAGAAGAAAATAACCTTTTATCTGCTAAGGGACTTTCCGTATTTGATCCCTTACATGTGGTGTAAAAGTCAAGCTTGGTATTTAATTAAAGAAAAGAAAAATTAAACTTATGGTGCAGTGTCAGTAAGTGTTGGTTGGTGACAGCTGTCTAAGGTAGTTGTTATAAAAATTACGTGCTTCTATTTATATTTCATCAGAAAATTACTTCCTGGTATGTATGGATTTAGGTTCCACAATGGACATCATCCTTCTGTGTCTTCACTGTATCTTAGAATGCAATATTCAGAGTTTTAATTGAGCACATGTATAATTTTGGCAGAGCATGCTAATTCCTGGGTGTCGCTCAGGATATTACTCAGTGAGGGAACACTCTGTATCTGCATACAGAGGTTTGTCCTCACCACTTGAGCAGTTTCCCTGGCTTAGCTGAATGTATTGTGTCTGCAGACTCCCAGAGCTTTGCCTGATGGTGCAAAGCAGGCCCAGGGATTAATTCTTACTCTCTTAGAGGGCACAATAGTCTAACCAATGGGCTGTCCAAGAAGTACCATGATTTTTGATAGTCTGTTAATGAATGAAATCATTAACAGTGGGCTCAAAATCTTGATGGAGGTAAGTAAGGCAAGTAGCAGAATAAAGTGCATACCCTAGACTTCAAGAGAGCTAATTTTGGGCTTATTCAGGGAGCTGGTAGGTGGAATACAAAGGAAGGCAGCTTGAAGAGTAAATCTGCTGCAGAAGGCTGCCAAGTTTTGAAGGACAGCATTCTCCAAGTACAAGAATGGCACGTCCTGGAACGTGAATGGACGTAACAGGAGGCTGACCACACTGTCTGAAAATGAACTTGTGACTGAGCCGCGATACAAAGGCAGCATACAGGAGGTGAAAGCAGGGACAGGCTACAAAGGAAGAATGTAGATACATTGTCCACACATGTCAGGATGGCGTCAGAAAAAATCAAAGCACACCTGGAGCTGAGGGACAAGAAAAAAGGGACATCAAGGACCGCTTGAAAAAACTTCCAGTGCTTTAGCAGTACAGGAATAAACAAGGAAAACGGGAACCTCTGCTGGATGGACTTGGGCAAATTAGTAGCAGCCAATAAAGATGAGGCTGAAACACTTGAGTTCAAGAACTGCAGTCTTCTCTGACACTCACAGGCCTCTGTGTACAGAAAGAGAGTTCAAGAAGGAGAATGACAAGCAATGGCTGAGACAAAATCAAGCATCTCTTGAGAAATCTTGACCGAAATCTAGAGTTTGGGATAAGATGAGCTGCTTTGAGAGTGGTGAGGACACTGACCAGTGTCATAGTAAGGTTGCTCTTTATAATCCTTGAAAGGTTTGGAGATTAGAGGTAACCTCACTTTGATCTGTGAAAAAATTATGGAGTGAGTCCTCTTTAAGCACACTTTTGGGCACATAAAAGAAGGAGGTGATGGGGAATAGCCAGCGTGAATTAAACAACAGTAATAGTGCTTGACCAGCCTATTTCTGTGATGACAGTACTGAATGCATCAATGAAGCAAAGCTGTGCATGTTTTTTGTCTCACCCTAAGCAAGATTTCCAGCTCAGTCTCCCACAGCGCTCTTCTATTTACCTTGAGTTGTTACATTTTGGCAGGTAGGCTCCTGAGTGGGTAAGAAAGTGCTTGGATTATTTGGCTCAAGGAGAGGTGTTTATTGGCTGATGTTTTATCTGGAGACAGATTTCCCCATGGAACTGTATGTATGTATGTTTTCTGATGTCCTTGGCAAGGATCTGAAGTAGGAGATGGAGTGCACCCTCATGAAGTTGTACTTGATGTAACCAGCCCCTCCTGGTTGTACTTCTTAATCCCTACTTTGTCAGGGAATGAAACTCTGAAGCTCACTGCCAGCTTTTGTGTTTTCTTTGTTTATGCTGGTGGTGGTTAAACTGCATGGTGCTAAGCATCCCTTGATCATATCTTGGGTACTGTTTCTGCAAATAATTATGTTCTGAATTCACATCTGCTACGCCTTTTGAAAGTCCTTGGTGGTGCATTTCATGGTGGCCCACTGAACTTCTGCACAGAATGGGGTTCATGTGAGAAATTCTGATCAGAGCAAACAGCATCTGGTGCAGTGGAGGAGCACTGAGTGCATCCCAGAACACCACTTTGACAGGAGCAGATTTTCTGAAGGTTTTTCTGTCATTCGCTCCTACCTGACAACAATTACTCTCGGAGTATTGAGCCAGAAGTGGTCACTCCTTAAGTCTGGCTTTCTTCTAGGATTTTCTTGTTTCTTTAATTCATAAGTATTTAGAAAGAGAGGACTGTTCTTTGTAAACAAAGGAGATAGCCCAGCTGTCTAGATGTTAAGAGTAAGGTATTCACTATTGTGAATACAACAGTTCTGTAGGTTTAAAGTGATAACAGTTCAATTTCAAATCTTGTAAAAATAATGCTGTTGTTAAGATAGTGATAAATGTGCCACCTTTTTGTGCCTGAGAATCGATAAAATCTCAAAGGGCTTATGATGTTCCTGACTGATACCTTCTCTAGCAGTGTCAGAAGCTTATAGTGTAAAATTGTGTTTGTGAGGCCTTGTACAGGTTCATGGGAATAAAAAACTACAGAAATGACACTAGCCAGATGCCAGCACACATCCCCTTGAGAAAGATATTTTGCTATTGATATCTTACATATATTGATACATGTATAACCCTAAGGGGCAATGCTGCAGTTCTTCTTGAATTGGGATATTTCTAGTGCTCTTAAAAGGTGGTGTAAGATAGGATTTTTCCTGCTATCTTAGTGCTCAGATACTGTTTCAGGTGCTTTGGAAGTGGCTTTTAAAGGAAGTGGAGGCAGTTAGCTTTTAGTTTGTCAGTTGGTTAAAGAGGTGTAAGAAGTACAGATTTGCAGAAAGGATGGAAATGCAGCCCACAGCTCTTAAGCATGGACTGCTCTCCTAGGTTGCTGTCATTCAGTTTATCAGATATGTAACTCTGCCTTTTGGCTGTTCTGACAGACTAAGGGGAAATGGACTTTTCTAAGAGCACAGAATGCAGAGCGCAGACACAACTGGAGCCACCCCAGTTCCTCAGAAAACTGCTTGTTCTCCTCGGCCCTGTACAAGATCACAGCAAGGGGCTGGCAGCAGTAGCTCAAACATTGTCCGACTGCTTGGTGTCGCATGTTTAGGGAAAATGTATTTCATGGGGGTGACAGTAAGGAACTACTAAGACCCTCATGAGAAAAGATCTTTCTCTCCTCTGCAGCAGAGTTCACCCAATAGTATATTTACTGGTAGAATAAATCTTAGCAGTGACTTCAGGTTTTCAAGATCTCTTTCCAAGTGAAAGAAGGCTAGCTTAGGAGTTTGTTGAAAGAGGAAAAACTGAAGCCTCTCAACCTACCTTTTTATTCCTTCTAATTTTATAGATAAACATGAGCTTGTCACCTCTTACTGTGTCCTTGTTCTGTATCATCTAAACACTGGATTTCACAAGTTGTTTCTGTGTGAACTTCCTCTTGTCTTTTTCACAGTAAACCTTAATCATGAAACAATAAATATCTCGTGGGGTATGTTGCATTTAGGAATAGAGCTATTAATAGTTGCATGCTATCAGCTTAGATTATAATGGAGTGGAATAGTGCAAATAGTAGAGCTATTAGCATGTGCTTAGATGTGTAAATGCCTGATATGTGAGGATGTTAAGAAAGGACACAGTGGAAAGGGAATACCTCATCTCAGTTTAAAGATACACAGTTAACCTTGGTGCAACTGTATAACATTAAGCAGAAAGCTGAACCATATTCTTCAGGTGGGTGTTAATGTTGCAAGGTAAATTCGCGTTCCGTAGATGGCTGGATAAAATATGATGTCTAACAAGGTTTGTAGTAATCTCAAAAAATTCAGTACAGATTGTTGGCATAATGTGTGACAACAGTCATGTACCACGTGTACAGAAAGATTGCTGCTTTGTCAGGAAAAACAATGGATTAAGGATGAGTACAATAGACAGTGGAAGATTGCAACTAATGCTTTTATAACTTCTGTTTTGCTATTGAACTATATGTTGTAAGGTATCTGTGTAGTGCTTCCGAAGCAGGTTTTTCCTTTTAGCAAATATATTATTATTAAAATATAAGATAAAGTTTTATTAAAAGAGAATTGTCTTAGAAAGATACATAGGCTACTCAAGTAGGAGAATCTATGGCAGTACATAAGGCAGTACTTTCTAGGAAGAGTAGCTTAAGTGAAATGCTGAATTGGTACAAATAGTTAACATATAAATATTGATCCACGTGAATGAATAGTTCCTATCAATGGAGTTGTAGAATACAGTAATATCTCTAGATAAAGTGTCTGTAAGAGGTGACAACTTTAAATTCAACTGTATTTCAGTGGAGGTCAGCCATGTCTTGCATCCCTTTGGGATATTTTGAGATTATTTATAATGTCCATGTAGTTGGTCTGATTCTCTTTCTGCAGAGAACATCTCCTGTTACATCTCTCTGTGAGTCCTTTGGGGATGAAGTCTGAGCTTGGTAGGAAAAAAAAGGCCCTGCAGATCAAGGTTTTCTTCTCTCTTAGCTGAGTAAAAGCCCAATTACCTCCAAACACCATCATTCTTACTGCATAGTGGGAGAGGCAGCTGTACAATGTACCTTTTACATCCCACATGTACTGAGGCTGAAGAATATTGCATTTCAGGGCATTCAGTGTTCTGTGTTTTTAAAGCTGGGTTTTTTTGCATTTTTCTATTGATCCTAGTAAATTGGCTTCTAAGACTTGCAGTGTACCTTGAAGGCAGGTGTTATCCATAATTAATTTCTCTTCATCACAGCTGTTTCTTGAAATGTATTTTATTTGCTTAAGTGTATACGCATTGTTGGAATATGAATTTACCAAATATGGGTAGTAGCATGAGAACTTGCTCCAAAAGAAATTAATATATAATTGCAGTGGTTAAAAAAACTTAACTACACAGTGTTCTTCAACATATGGTTTTGCTT